CAACCAATGAGATGAGAAGTTTAGCGATTTAGGTAATGTCGATCCAGTGGGGAAGCAGGTCATGCAGCAAGTGTGCACAGAAAGAACAAGGCCTTTTCGGAAGAGAAGAACCAGGGTCTGGCCACCCAGCAGGGTGACTGACGGTAACATGTTGTTTGTCTCTCAGGGAGGCATGCAGGACTGGTCGTTTTGTCTTTATCTTGAGGCCCAGCCTCCAACAGAGGCACCTCTGGCCACAGTTGTAATGTGTTTTCCACTTTGCATTAGTTCCCTTGCGGGCCTGTCCCTGTCTGACTGCCTAGAATATTTCTACCTAGCTTAGCTGTCTATAATACTACTTTTGAGGAACTAAGTTGATTTTATGGTGCCAGGGCTTACAAAGTTTTCTTGAGAAACTGGCGTGGTACCTGGATTATAGGATTTCTAGCCTTACAGATAAGGAAGGAAGGTCATTTTTTGCAGGTCCAGGGATCCTAAGATATTGAGGGAACCTTAAGAATAAAGAACTTCATGCAAATTAATAGATACTGAGAAAAAAATTGGCAATAATTTCTCTCTTGGCATGGTTTCCTAGCCTGATGATTTCATTTTATTTGGTACCAGGAACTGAACTCAGGACCTTGCACTTGCCAGGCAGGTGCTTATGCTGCTCAGCTATATCACCAGCCCATAGCTTCTTGATTTTAATCTGAGGTTCCTTGTGAAAACTTTCAGCACAGCAAACTTAGGAAAGCCTACGTGGAAAAATTAAGTCTTATGCATCTGTGTAAATAATCAGACCAAATATAACGTGATTAGACTTATTTTGTGACTAAGGATGTTTCTTGAGATTATTTTCATCAGAAAGGGTAGATTATAGAAAAAATGTACTTCAGGGGGAAGCTATGCATCCTTTTGATGCTGCACCCTTCCAAGTTCTCAGATTTTAGCTCTGTTCATTGTCTTTGAGATGTTTTGCGATCCTTTCTTAACTGATAGGTATGTATATTTTGTCCTGGCTTGTAGTAGTTTAACTTGCCCCCCACCACTACAAAACAATTTTGTGTGATTTTAATTCATCTCAACATGTATTTATTCCTTATAAATTTGTGATGCTTGACTTCTCTGAACCGTTATAGCATCTGCCTGATTATTTAATATAAGAGCAAAGGCTACTGTGGCCTTCCTCACAACGGCCCGCCCCGTGTCCTCCCGGGTGTGTGTCTGTCTCGCTTTTTCCTCTTTTCCTCCGCCCTAGCTCACTCTGCAGAGCCAGTTTTCCCTCACTCTTCAATTTTACTTCTTCAAATAAACTTTGCTACCTTTAAAAAAAAGCAAAACAATATCATTAACGCGTTCATTTTTGCATATCTAAGAGAATTATTATTTCATCTTTTCCTGAAAAGTATCTTTTAATGGTAGGAAATGCATAATCAAACACATGCGGACGGCCGTAGTGCCGTGAGCACATCTGGTCAGAGAAGCCAGGTGCAGTGCTCCGGGCGGGGCTGCCCCAGTCCTCCTCCTGCTCCCGGGACTGAGTACAGCGCTGGAACAGAAGTTGGACTTGTGAATTGGAAATTTAACACTGGGGCCGGTAAGGAGAGCCCAGCTACGGACCTGTAATGGGGCCCCGAGCTGCTGCTTTCTGGATGTTATACGACAAAAAACAACAACAACAAAACCAGAAACAAACAAAACCCTTCTGTCCTAGCTGTGCCCTGTAATTTGAGGTTTTCTGTCTCTCATCGTTGAACTTAACCCTACACAGTCATTCCTTCCATTATAAAATTCTAATGATGAATATGAATGATTGTGAGAGTTCAGTCAGTAAAAGAATGTATTTTAAAAGTCTGTTTTGGGGTTAGCTATCTGACAATAATTGTTCAAATTTAAAATGAACACATTGATTGTTTCAACTTAAAATACTGAAAGAAGATTTAAAAAGATAAGTCCATTACCAAGAAATAATTATCTCTGACGCCATAGTCAGCTTTGAGAAACAGCTTGCTATGTCAAAGATAAAATATGAGTTTTACAGGATGAGTAATACATTGAAAAAACAAAAGAACTCTTTCTTTTCCCGAAGTTCCAGCCAGGTTTCTGACCCTATTGCATCAAGCCAAATGTCCCATAGCTGCATAAAGTAAGTACTCTAGCAGACCTAGGACTGGGATACAACATTATGCTGTAATACTGGGGCTAATGAGAGGAAATACGAACCCAGAGAAAGTCGGCTTGCCAACTAAACTAGTCACGGAATCACAGTTTATCATTATAACAGGTACTTAGGAGAAATGAATGCAGGCTAACATCTTGTTCTCAGTAATCTAAAAGTTGACCCATTGTACTCCTTTCCCTGAGGGTAGAGTTTATTTCCACATCTCAAATGCTTCCCCTTTCTCATCTCCCAGGGACAGTAAGTAGCACGGAAGCTGTGTTTTAATCTACTTCTACTGCAGTGAGGAAGTGAAAGAAGGTTGGATTTGGGAACCCATAGAGAACAGGAAGCACCAAAAGAAAAAAGAAAAGAAAAAAGAAAAGAAAAAAAGGAGACAGTGTTTTGTAACTAAAAAGAAAAGAGCAGGTTTGAATGACCAGACCCAAGACGAAACTGAGCTCTGAGCTCAGTGAGTTAAATCCAGGACTAAACTTCTGATTTAGAACAGATACCACCTATCTTTTACTGAGTGCTCGAGTTTTCAAAACATAAGTAAATCTTTAATTTCACGAACTTAGTGAGCTGGATTTCCTGCCTTTTTTGTTTAACGTGAGCTCCTCGAGGAAGGCAGAGGCCATCTCTGAAGCGATTAGAGCCGCTGCAAACGACCGCGCTGGTTCCGCTGCAGGGCCCTCCCGAGAGGACACGTGCAGCGACAGCCCTATTTCTAACTCTCCTCCTGTGTAAAGCCAGAATATCCAACTGACCCTGTTGGAATTCCATCCTTTAACTCCGCGATTTCTCACCTGAGATTTGCACCGTTTAATAGCCTTGTAAGTACTTTTGCAAGGCCTTCTTACACTGCATTTCTAATCAGGGAGACGTAGAACAAGACCTGTCCTTAAGCTGTTTTATGTTGCCGTATAATGGTCTCCATTTCCTTTTTTGTAGCATTGTCTTGATAAATTGCTGTTTCTAAAGATCACGTTTGCCTGGAGTGCGTGCAATAGAACAGGCTCTGTGGGCTCTTGTTGAGTTTGAGGTTTGGGCCGAACTCTGTCTAACCCACTGCACTCTGCTTTCCTATTCCACCGATTCCCGAGTCTGCTTTTTGTTTCTGATTTGTGTACTGCGTATTTTAGCAAGTAGACTGGGTGGATTCTCCTAACAGTAAAGCATCCTCCAGCTAAATGGGGACTAAAAAAGCAAATGAGAGTATTATACTCGGAAAAATCCATGGAGTGCTTGACTTCATTGAAGGCAAACAAGCAAATGGGGAGAAAAGGAAGGAAGCAAGGAAGGAGGGAGGGAGGGAGGGGAGGAGGGAGGGAGGGAGGAAGGAAGGGAATAAGCAGGCAGTACTCTAAGTCAGGTCACATTCTTTGAATTCACATGTTAATTATCCCAGGGAAAACCACCTTGGCCACTGATTTATAGAAGAGTGTTAAAGTTGGAATCATTTACCTACATCCAGGGCTCGAAATCTAGCAGTAGTTTAAATAAAACTTACACGGTGATTTGTCTGTACTTATTATACTTGGAGGAACACTTAAAAGACACTACACATAGACAAATTTTACAAAACAAGCACATCAATGTAATGCACAAGTTCCTTCCAGTGACAATGGCAATCAGTACACGAGGAGCAGTGCTCTCTGAGGGCTGGCTCAGGCAAAGGAGCTGCTTCCTGGAAGCCGGGAGAGGGAGTCTTCCCGATTGTGGAACCGTGCCCTGGGCCAACTGGGAGATAATTCGGGGCGGTGTATGTGTAGCAGTGACACTGTGTACTGGCAAGTGGCTTTTAAAAAAGTTTTGAAAGGTTTTTGTCAAATTTTTACCACCCAGAAGTCCAGAAGGCACCTGTCCCTCCAATTTTTACAGTATTAGATTTATACCTAAATAAGAAGACTTTAAAACTGCTTTGTAATTATCAAGAACAGACCTCAAATTCCTTCTTAAAAATAAAGTTAATGTCATACCCAAAGTCATGGAGACATTTAAAAGTGGTGTTTAAAATAGAATTTAGACTACTGACTTGAAATCCCATGCTCTGACCACCAGACCACACGCCTGCCCAAGGATACTTAAAATTTTTACTGAGTTATTCTTCTTTGTAATTAGATGCAGTGACTAGAGTGTCTTTTGCATTACTCTGCACTTTTCTTTTAAGTCAGTGTTGTAAGCCACATAGGGCACTGTCCCTTGCAAAACTAAACAAGGGATTTTCAGTTTTGCAATACAATCTCCTGATATTTGTTTATAGGTTTCACACATCAAAAACAATGAAATCTGTAATTTTTCAAATTACAATCTTCTCATTCTCTAAGTTATGTGCCTATGAGAATTTGCAAATCTTTTGAAGAGAATGTAATCTTTATGCTTACAAAATGTAGGCTTTCATATTTGGATATAATTACAAATCAAGGCCTTTTTCCCGTTTCTCTGAATTATGGGTTTTCCTCATTTGAAAATAAATTAATGGGAATTTTAAAATATAATTCATCCAGCTATTAAATCTCCTGAACCTTTAAAATTAGAAACCATTTATATTCTCAATCCCCAAAGAAGTGATGATAAAAAATACTTTATGTTCTAGCATTTTTTAACTGAATTTTTTGATTGGAAAGTAAAAATAAACAGTTAAAATCAGTTGAACTTAAAGTACAAAAGAAACCTTTATATTTTATATAAAACCTTTATTGTTTTATATTTTTCTTTGCAGATATATATTATGTGACTTAAATATTGAGTCTGTTTCTATCAAATTAACAAAGTCCATTTTGAATCATGAAAAATCCAAAGTGCTACAGATAGCTTTTACAGGAATTTGGACTAGCACTCAATGTTGCATGAAAAACATATCTTTTATAGCTCTAAACATCACTTTTTAAATTAGAGATTGATTTATCAGGGAGCCAACTTCACATAATTATTATTCATTTTCAGATAATGCATGAGAATTACTAAATTATACAGTAGTTTTATGTAGAGATATACATATTTTCTTAGCGTTGTCATCTAATTTAGAAATTTCACTCTCAAAGCCAGGAGTTTTTTCAAGTGTCTTTTCTTCCCTATGGGCTTTCATTTGCAGAAGGAAACGGCCATTCACATCTCCCAGGCCCAGCTGAAGTAAGGGCAGCGTTGGGTGGGGACTGGCAACAGACACACATAAAACTTGTTCATTTCGTGTAAGTGAGGGCTTTAAACAGAACGATTTCCCCTGTTTTGGCGGTCTATTTAATTCACCAGGATGGGCTTTTTGTGAGGGTACAGTTTCCCAAGGGAAAAGAAGTAGACTCAGGAGCAGGTCCCACGGGAGGCGCAGTCTCCTAAGGAGGCAGTGTCAGGATCATACCTCTGGCAAGTGCGGTGCAGGCTGGCGTCCACCTCGCTCAGCATTCCCACATGGGACAAGCGAACACTTTATTCGTACTTCCCTCGCACGCCCTTTCAGCTGAGTTGCCCTGTGAGCACTAGTCGCCGGGGGAGCAGAAGGTGACAGTGCCCGTCAGTGAGTGGTGAGGGGGTGCACACAAGCAGGTTTGAGAGGATGGAGCCCCAGCTGTGAAGCGGCTCTTTGGTGCTGACCACGCGGTTGACCTGAAGTTTCCCCAAACAGACCTGAGTCAGGGAAAGACCAGTGGTCTCGTCACTACAGAAACCTCCTTTGAAATGTATAGATGCAGCATGTGTGCAAAATAGTTGGGTTCTCTTTCCATTTATACTTTGAAGGGCAAAGTGGACGGGAAAGGAAAAGTAGAGCATAGATACAATACAATTGGCTGCATGTTAGTAATTGTTGAAGTTTGGCCCAAAGGACTTGCTGTACTACTCTCTTTGCTTCTGTGCTTGGAATTTTCTACAATAAAAAGGCTAACACACACACCCTGCCCCGTAAAGCCCCACAAGCAGACATTTACACAAGCTGTTGAACATGGAACCGTAATCTTAGAAAATCTGCCCTATAATATATGAAGGAAATTAAAAAAAAAAAAACCCAAAACATTTGTCTACATGACAAAAAATGACTTTTACATCCTTTCCAATTGTGATGAAGATTTGGCACAGTATCGCTGATGTTTCAGTGATCTTGGAGAAATGCTAAAGAGCAACCCATCTTCTCTTTCCGCAACCTAAATGGTCCTCAGCCAGACTGTCCACTCAGATACCTGGAGAATGTAGCTCGGTGTCCTATCCTGTGTCAGCCACTGCCAAAAGCCGTTGTAGCCCTCTGTCCAGTGGTAGGACTGTCAGGTTATAGTGTTTTATTCACCTCTCACTGATTGATGATGAGCCTGTGTAGTTTTAGATTCTGGCTGAACAGCTCCATGATTTTCTGTTTACCTAAAAGTCTAATTCCTTACCATGGGATGCAAATATTTCTCTGTCTCTTCAGAGGAGATTTCCAGGTCTTTATCAGTTCAGTGATTTGTGACTTCAGATATAAACCTTAGTCTATGTATATTAAGTACCCCATGTGAAATGACTTAGAATTGTCAGTTTACGTTGAGGCCCATTTGTATGAATTTGTGTGAATTCAAGTAATTTGTGTGCATTCAAGTAAGAATGGATCAGAATAAAGGAAGAGATTTTTATAGTCCAGCTTTCATACTTTCCCACACAGTGGACACTGTTAAGTTGATCTGTGAATGTCTGCCATGAAAGCTTTTAGGCTTATAAACTGGTGCATGCTTATAATTCCAGCCACTCAGGAGGGTCGAACGTTGAAGGCCAGCCTGAGCAATTTAGTGAGACTCCGTCTCAAAATTAAGGGCTGGGGAAGTAGTTCAGTTATAGAGCACTTGGGAGGCTCTGGGTTCAATCTCCAGTACCATAAGAACAACAAAAGACAACTTTATATTACAGGTCCTGGATGCCAAGAATTCTCTCTCCAAGGACATTTTTCACGTTCTCATAGCACTAATAATTAGTCTTGTCCTATGGCCCCAGTACCTTCCTCTGCAATTACTACCATCACTATCACCACAAGCCTGATGTGAAAATAAATGATTCTAAATTTTAACAACGTTAAGCTGAAAAATGCAAAGCTAATGTTTTCATTCAACTGAAATGTAAGAAGACATCAATACTAGACCAAAAGTTTGTACTGTAACAAACAAGGTCAAAACTCACTGACAGAGCTGTTCACTTAAAGTTGTACTTTAACTCTAGTATTTGTACAGGGTATTTCGTAGTTTCCAGCTGACACCACTTGATCTATCTACTTACAGAAAGGGGAGTTTCTCATTTAAATGTTATAGGAAGAGGAAATCTAATTTTGACCTGAGTCAAATTGATGCCAAAGGGAATTTATGGTTTTCTTTACTTTATAAGCTGTAATTGCAACTACAGTTTCCTTCATCTAAAAAAACTATTCCACCCTGAAATTTTCAAACAAAAATAGTTTGCAGAAACACTGGCAAAAGACTTCTTCAAAGGAAACTAACTAGCTTGAATTAAAAGGAAAGAGGAGAGAGATGGACATTTTAAGAGATTATATTTTTCAATATTTTGAGCACAATATGTCTAATTCCTACTTTTTAAAAACATTTGTCAAGTAAAATTTGTGAGTAGATTAGTAATTTAAGTGTGCTTAATTTGTAGATTAGATAAAACAACATGAATGTATACGACTTGAAGAGAAAAAACAATGATATGAAAACTCTTTCATTAAGTATTAAATAGAAACAAAGTTGTCATCAGTTAATGACATAAACTATTGAAATATATGGCTCCATATTATAGAATTAATAAAGATATAATAGTGGTATAAAATCCAGTTACTAAAAGTATTTTGCCTGTGTTTTTATTGGGATATCTGATAGTATAACTTCATACTTAGTTCCAATAGGTAAATTATCTTGGTTGCCCCCAACGTTGTTTATTTTGTTCATAGGTTAAATCTGAAACCATGACTGATTTGATATTAACTGGATAATTACCTATGCCATGACTGTTGGTCGCCATTCAATGTAGGACACTTCTAGATTCCTGTCTTACAAAGTCCACCTCATGTTTCAATGGTGAGAGGTCGGCAGGTCAGAGGTGTCCACTCCTTCGTGCTACTGCAGGTCCCAGTGTGTATACTGATAGAATTATTTTTTTATTTCACCCTCAATCCCCTTTAAACCCATTGATTATCCATATGACCTTCACTTCAAAGCCATGTTGGACCAAGATAGCATAAAGGAACCCTCTAACTTGGTCTCAAAAATTCCAGTTTACCTTTGAATTAAATGTATCAGGTATTGAAATGACAGCTGCAGTCATAAAATGAAGAGATGCCTGAATTGAGAACTTGATTACTGGTCAGAGATAGTTCATTTCTCTGATAATGGCCATCCTGATGTTGCAGAAGCAGTTCAGAGTTTCTCCTTTGTTTCTAGGAGAAAATAAATACAATAAAACAAAGGAATTGGGAGACATGTACAGAGAAACATCGAATCTTCCATGTCAGGAAGGCTAAATCACAGGTTTAGGAAAGTATGGCTTTTTCCCAATATCACGGCTCCCAAAAATACCCTGCCCAAAGGAAATTGGCCACCCAAACCCAAAATAAAAAGTCAGAAAACAGAGGCCAAAATGGCCTGCAGATTCACCAAACCAGTGAGAGGCAGTATGAGTATTCTACCAGAAAATGGACCGTGTAGTGAGACCTGCGTTGTTGGGGTGTGGGCCACCAAGGGGGAGGAGGGCTTGCTGGCTTCCTCAGGACGAGACCACTGACATATGAATGGTCACAGTCTGTGCAAGATGAAGCTTCAGAGAATTAGAACCTGGAGTCTGGAACCGCAGAATTAGAAGATCTGAAAGTTGAAGGAAATATTTACAAGAGAAAGGAACTCTTTCTGCAGTGACATATGTGGAAAGTAAATGGAATTAAGAAATGCTTAAAAGCAGGTATAATTTCTGTCTTGAATCACTGAGAGGGGAAGTTAGACAGGGCCTTGTTATGTCTCTAAGCTGGGAGGGATGGCTCCGTCAAATCACCCTCTGGTGCCACTTTTGGCAGGAGGACATGGAAGTGGAGCTGTTCCTACCCAAGGAGACAATTCATAGACTCTTTGCTATGCTGGAAAGTACAGCACTTCCCAGAGTAATGGCGCTGTGACTTAGAGAAAACGGAGCTTAGGTCCCGGACACCCCTCGGGCCCCACTGGCATCTCTGTGCCTCTGTTTGAAGAGATGACCACAGGAGACGGCCATGGGACGCACCCTTCGGTCCACATAGCCCTGCTGAGTTCATCTCACAGAGAAAGACATCCTGCCTGTCAGTACGGAAGAGGCAAATGAGAATTTCATCAATCAAACATTTCTCTATAAAGTTAGGTTGTAATTACATACGTTAGTAGAGACACTTTCCCATATCACAAGTCCCACGCAAGCTTCTTTTACTGTCCTCAGGATTTGATGTTCCTGCTGTTTTGTGCTGAATATTTTCTTTCAAGTCAGAAAGAAAACAATTCATATTTAAAGAAGGAAGAGATCTCAAATCCATTATAATTGACATCCTCTCCTTTCACTTTCCTTTTAGGCTAGCATAGGAGTATCAAATATGTATATCAAATACATATTAGGCCAAATGCCAAGTGGTTAAGTATTAGATGAACATTTTTCAAAGATGGATGGTACATATCATCACAGGATGAACTTCCTGGAAACATGTAATTGCAGTTGCATTTTCATAATGAAAAATTGGTAATCAAATATTAAAAACTTGACGTCACAGAAAGGAATGATTATTAATATTACTGTCAATGTTCCTATTTCTCAGTTTAACAGTTTAAAGATTCATGTATTTTCTGGGTAGCATTAAAAGCGTTCACAGTCTTCCTGATGTCGCCACTTTGCTCTTCCAACACTTCCAGTGCATAAGGAAATCTTAACTCTAAGTTAGATCTGTGCATTCGAAATGGAAGTCCAAACATTCAACAGCACCAAGGCGAGGATGACCTTCGTAGTGACCTTCCTTGCTCTCCTCCTGTACACGATGCTAATTTACATGGTGTAGATGTGATGGCAGTGACGTAGGCTGGTGATTTGCCTTTCTAAAGCCAGCTAGCAACTAGTGGCTAAATACCAAAATTCAGTCTAATTTCACTATGTCTCTACTTTAGAGTTTGGTAGAAGAGTTCAATAAACAAAATGTATTTTTTAAAAAATGTTTTTTGAGTTCCCTTTTAGTCCTTTTTCGGAGAAATAACTAGACATTTTACACTGACCTCAATGAATTCCCCTAAGATCCACAAGGTGGTGCTATGAAGTGGCATTTAGAAAAATTTTAAAACCATCTGGCTTCTAGAAACACGTTTAGGCAGGGTCAAGTCAAACAAACATGGTTTAATAACATCAGCTACAGACGAACACTATCTTTAAAAGGCTGCAGTGAACCAGATATGTTGAGAGAAAGGGTACTTTTACTTCTAATGCTGCTTTTAAATCTATTTTTCAAACTATACTTGTTCAGTTTGCTTTTGATCTCGGGTTTTAAGAACATTTTATGAGAACACTAAGAATTGGATTTGGGTCTCAGCAAGGTTAAATCGTAATGGAAAAAGTACTGCACTGAAATGGAGACCGCCCCCAAGGCATCACAATGCCCAGGTTGAGAAACCTGAGGCCATCATTCGTTCCCTCGTTGGTTTGTCTATGTGTTCACTAACCCATCTGCACATTCATCCCTTCTTACATGTAGTCATCCATCTATCACAGCAGTCATTCATTTTTCCATCACATTCTTACAAAGTGTCTGCCATGATTCAAGATTGGACCAAGCTCTAGAGATAAAAAGGAAAGAATTATCTCATTCCTATTCAATCTAACAGGGGAGAGAAATACTTACAAAATAATATAATACTAATGTAATACGATCCGTGTTTTGCTTCTAAGTGTAAGACATTCTGGGAACAAGGACATCTAATAGTGAATCTTGGGCGAGATGCTAGGACTCCGGCGGACTTCCCGTGGCGGGCTGTCGATTGTGGAAGGCGAGGGAAGTGGCCCGTGATTTGGGAGTGCAGTGTGCAGCAAAGCCAGAGGCGTGGAAAGGCTGGGTGTGTCACCGCAGGGTGAGAAAGAGAATTCAAGGAGTGCTGAGAGAGTGAACAGAGGAGACCCTAAAGCAGAACAGGCCCTGCCGGAAAGCCGTGGGCACCATCCCTCACCCTGAAAAGTTCACCCAGGAAAACAGCAGCGGCCATGACAGGCACTTCCCCTCTTGGGTCTGGGTTCACAGTCTGGAGCGGTTTGATGAGATTCCTGTTCAGCTTTCTTTTATCTGTAAAACTCCACTTTGTTATTATAAAGCCAGCCCATTAGATTATATTAAATACTGCATAGTAGATTTATATTATAACTGTCAGTCACAGTCACAGCTATAAAGAAAATATCTTTTTTAATAATATAAAATTATGCTGTCAGAGGTATTTACTTTCCTTATAATGAATAAAATATATTTTTATTGATCATTTGGGGTTTGTTTAAGGCTGGGCAGACTTTAGAACATCAAGTTATCCGGCAGGGTTGTGTCGTCCGGATGGTTTATTACCGTGTCAAAACCATGAAGGTTGCCTCAGGATAAATTCTTAAAATACTCATCCCTCAACCCTCTCTAGCACTTGTGCTTTTACCAATAAGCTCTAGAAATCGAGTTAGGTAGAAGTAGTTTAACATATGTTTTATAATTTGAATAATTACTTCAAAAGTATTAGTGTTTAGGAAAAATACAAGAGAGTCTTTTGTGTCTTCCATTAATCAATAAAATCCAAACATTAACAATTGCATGAATTGTGGATAAAATTCAAATTCTTAACAATCAAATGAATATTTGATACAGTTTTTCTAATTTATTAAACGTATTTTCATCGTGTATTTTTCTTTACATAGTACTGAGCTACATTCCCAGTCATTTCTTATTTTGAGGCAGGATCTCACTGAGCTGCCTAAGCTGGGCTCATACTTGCTATCCTCCTGCCTCAGCCTCCCAGAGTGCTGGGATCGCAGACATATGCCTCTATGTCTGACATCATCTCATAGTTTTATATTTGTAATTTAAGTTTGGTTTTAGAATATGGGTGGCTGAAGTCACTACGCAGACCATGCTGTCCTCATTCAGAATTTAAGGGCATAGTTCAAGTGGCATAACTAGAGATGAAAGCAAAAGCAAAAGGATGAAAGTGTTGAAAACAAACCTGGGTCACAAATCTGAAGAAAACACAGAGCCCCAGATGTTCCATGAGGAACATGCTGCTCTATTCCCCAGAACAGAGGAATGCAGAGGCGGATGCGGAAGGTAGCTCGGGCTAGGACAGCGGCCACTGGGTGGAACTGGACTCCGGCTGCTGTCTGCCTGCAGGGGCTGCTGACTCTGTCCGACTGCATCTCTCTGAGCCCGTCTTCCTCCCTCCTGCTGCTTTCTGTGTCGCAGAATTAAAACCTCTGCTGGCTCATTGCAGAGTTGAATATCCATGTTCATTTTCCTCCATATAAATTACAAAGCCTGCCTAATACTTTACAAAGTAACATGCGCTGTCCACGCTTGCATCTTGAGACTGAGCCAGGACCTCATTTCAAGGTAGCCTGGAAGCTGGGGTGGTCTCCCTAGGACCAGGATGTGCTTCTCAAAGGCACCTAGGGGGCTTGGAAGAAGCTCAAAGGGGCAGGGTGCTGGCCTGAAGCACCCTACTGCCCACCCTGACCAGGGCCCTTGAAAGCTCTGTTTCTCTCTCACTTCTTTCCAGCTGAGGCATCCTCTGGACAAAGGCTTGAGGGCTGGCAAGTGATCTCTAGGCTCTCTCTGCCAGGAGGGCCTAGGCACTTTTATTTTCACATATTCTCCCTGAGCATAGACTTCCAAGCTAGGAGAAGTGAAGAATGACTCAGAGGCATACGGTAGGATGAAGTAAACATTAAAAGTTCAAAACCAAGAGGAGCACCCACAAACTCACCTTTTCCAGTCTTTGTGAGCAGTAGACATTTTCTATTTCCATCCAATGAAAAGGCACAGTTCAAGAGTGAAGTGCCTTCCGGCACGAACTAGATGCACAGGAAAAGGTGAAGGAGCAGGGTCTCCAGCGCACCTGCAGTGTGAAGTTTGCAGGAGCAGGAAGCTGGGTCTCTCCTGGCTTTCCAGACTGGGTGCCTCCGAGTACAGTCGAGTCGGGAGAAGGCGCCCTAGGGCCCAGTGCAGGTCCGGTCCCCATGCACACAGGACTGGTGCTTCGTGGTGTGGCAGGAGTTCACATTCCTACGCGTACACCTGGAGACACAGTGGCAGAGATGCCCACAGGATGGGGCATGACCAGTCACTGCTGTCACCAGACATGTCCTTTTCCTTCACAAAAGCTGGCAGTCACTGCCCACTGTTTGGAATTTTTAAGTAGATATTTATGGATAAACACCTCACAATGCAAAAAAGAAATTTACCATTACTTAGGGGACAGTGTCTTTCAACACTCCCCAGCAGTTTTTTCTGAAAAAATGATGAATTTTGTAAATTATAATAGCTTTAGAAATAATCTTAATGCAGTTCCATAAGTTAGAACCAATTTTCAGCAAAGAAAGAGTCAACATCTATTTTAGGAAGAGACTTGCTTCTTGCCTGTGATGCAACTGCAGAGTACTGAAGACATAGCTTCGATAGAGGTTCCAGGAGACCCCCTTCCAGCCAGTGGGGAGCTCCCTGACAGAGATAAGCCTTTAGCAAGTGCAAGGCGTCATGAGTGAGTCCGTGTCCATGTCAGCTCCTGTTCATGGCCTGAGGTAACCCTGCTACTCTACTGGGCTCCAGTTCGAGCTCACAGCTGTGCTCACCTTCCACCCATGACAAAGAGATCGGCGGATTCCAGTCCACACTGGACAGAGGGAAAGGCGTTTCCAGAATATGAACGCGCCAAGCATAGTTAATTCAGGCAATTTTATGGGGCTTCCTCTGCTTCCTCAATAGGACAAAAATAGCCAGAGATGACTTTACATAAGGCACAGATGGGTGGGCAGTGGAGGTGCTTGTGGTCTTGTAACTTCTTTCTGGGCATGAGGTTGCTTTTCATCATTTCAAATACGTTAGTAGCACAGCTCCCACCCCTCCAGAACAAAAATGCAGCAGTGAAAGCCGTTTGCTATTTTAGCTAATGACTAATAGAACACATATTTCAAAGGTCACATGATACAAAATTTAAAACTTGCAAGTAATTAAAAACTTAACTTGTCTTAGACTCACAGCTAAGTGAAAGAAGAATAAAATCTTTTCATGTTCCAGAAGGAGAGAAGACAAAAAAATTTGATTTAGGAAAAGAAAAGAAAGTGAAAGTAAAGTCCCCAAAGGAATTAGATTTCTGTCTTTTGAAGGTTGTCCTGAACTCTGGTAAATGCTATGATATGAAAACAGCAAATAGATTCATTAGTTGAAATATTCTTGAAGGTGTTTCAAAGTTCTGCAGCATAATTCATAATAATATGATTCCTAATCATATTGTGAGATCCGGAGTTCTCCTGCTTGCTCTAGACGTGGAGGGGTGGGGGGAAGGAAAGAAGATGCGTTGCACACAGGGAAACATGAGCTCACAAAACTAAAAAATAAATTATTAAAACCTTTAAAGAATAAATGCAAAAATTACAACTGTGAGCTGACTGCCTCCCTTATATGGCAATCCAGAAACTTGAACACACTGTAAATCAGGTGTCTCCACTGACCCTGAAGTTTCTACCGCGGACATTTCCGGTTCTGCTACCCATTTAGGGGCTGGAGAGAGGACAGTCTGCTCAGCCCTCAGACCCCAAAGGTGCTGGCGCACGGGCAACCCACGCACGGGGCTGGATCAGGCGAGGCTGAGCAGGGGCAAGGGCGGGCAGGATGCTGTCTTTGTTTAAAATTCTCACCACGGATTCCATTGTGCACTGATTTTGATTTTTTTTTTTTTTTTTTTTTTTTTTTTTTTTTTTTTTTTTTTTTTTTCCGGTACCGGGAACCGAACTCACGACCTTGCGCTTGCCAGGCAGGCGCTTTTGCCGCTGAGCTAAATCCCCAGCCCCTGATTTTGATTTTTAAAAACAGTGCATCACAGAGTCTTTTGATGCCTACTTAAACTGCAGGGGCTCCCTGGCTCTGGTGACCTGTGGACAGGGCTGTCCCTCTTGTCCTCCTTCCACTCACTGGGCCGGGAGAGGCTCCTGCAAGACCTGCTTCCCCCATGGTACCCTTCAATTCTTTCTTTTGAAAAATTTTTGGTACTGGGAATTAAACTCAGGGCCTCGCAGCTGGCGGGCACACACTACCACAGGGCTACGCCGGCCCTTTCCATTTTTATTTTGGGGAGGGTCTTGCTAAGTTGCTCAGGCTGCCTGACTGGAAGCTGTGACCCTGCTGCCCCAGCCTCCCAGGAGGCTGGGGTCAGACGTGCCACCGCGGCCACCATGCCGACTGTTCTCTAAGCGGACGGAAAATTGAGCTGTGCTGTGACACTTCTCCTGGGCTGCGCTCCTGTCTGTCTCCTTGTCTTCTCCAAAAGCACACGCCCTCAAAGGGAGCTGCCCCAAGGGGAACAGGGCCCTGCTTTGGAGCCAGGCGTTTGGCGAGTAAGGTGCAGAAAGCGTGCCCAGGTGTCGCCTTACGGAGCCCACACTCTGGGTGACAGGCAGGGACAAAGCAGTTCTCCTCGCGTCCCGGGTGGGATGGCTGTCGGTGTTTCCGCGGGAGGACGTGATGACCTCGCCTAGCGCTGCCACCTGCCTCCGTTTGCCACGCAGCCTCGTGGGAAGGGGAGATGTAGGGGCTTCCGTTCCGTGTCCCTCTGGACACTGCAGGACTTTCTGGAAGGCGCAGCTAAAGCTCCAGGCAATAAAAGCTCAAGAGAGAAGGCGAAGCCAGTGAGGGCCGCGATGTGGCGGGGAGCGCCCAGGACGTCTGGAGCGCGGGGCCGGGAGTCTCGGAGGGCGAGCGCGCGGGGAGGTGCTCGGGACCCCACCGGGGTCTGCGCTGCCAGCCGACCCCAGAGGGCCGACTCGAGGGCAGCACACACCGCTGGGTGAAGCGCGGCGACAGCTTGACAGGCACAGCAGGCTCCGGCCAAGAAGGATTCATGCAATTAAAGTTACGGGTGGGTTTGGCTGGCAGCGTGGATCCCCGCTTGGCGCGGAGCCAGCCCCTGGGCCCCGCTCCTGCCAGGCGCTGCCACACGCCAAGGGTGGCATCTGGGCGACGCGGGCCGGCCCCGACACTCACGCGGCGCACTTCCACGCACGGGAGGCTGGGACCAAACGTCCACATAATGTGAGATTCCTCGGGCCTGTGCTTAAAATTATAACTAGAAAATAAAACATCAGTGCCTGCCGCGAGAGCGGGGATCGAGTGACCTTCCGATCGGAGCGGTGACACCGCGCCGCGGAGGAGCAGAAGCCGGGGCGGCCGGGCCGGCCGCGCGCGCAGCGCCCAGGAGCACCCGGGCGTCACCGG